TTTTTAAAATATGCCTCTGATTTTATTTGATCATTTTTGTAGGCCCAATTTGTACATCTCATAAGGAGAGAATATAACAAAACAATGTAACCAGTGAGGAACACAGAATGATTTCAGTGCATGTGTCACAGTGCATTAAATCCATGATCTCAGCAACTCATTCCAGTTTATTGTTCCTGCACACCCTTGTGATACTCCTGTCACCATAAGAAGATTGATTTTCATCATCTGAGTCAATTTTCCACCTTTGTAGAATGGGGACTAAATCCGTATGACTCAAGCCAAGTTATATTTACTGGAGACCTGACATATGGTAGCATGGTGTTTCCGCCTCAGACAAACAAAGACAAGTAGGTCTATGTTTAAAAAATATACCACTATGTCATTATCAGAATTCTTAAATATCAATATTGGCATCTGCCTTAATAATCCAGTATTGGTCGGGCAACATTCCCTTAAACCCCTCAGGCAAGCTTGACGACAGCTCTGGGAACAGGTTACCTTTTATCGACTGGATTTGAAAACCAGACGATGCCACTGTGATGACAAACATTTTTGCAAATGTTGGGCTGCCAGTGAGTGTGCAGAGATGGTTCTGATTGATATGTACAAGCTTGGATACTCTCTAAAATACTGCAAAGGATTAATAACAATATGGTCTCAGAAAGATAGTAGGAGAACTGGGACAGTTGAAGACAAAACAGAAGAAGAAAGCAGAAGAATGAGGAGAACTTAGTGAATTTAGTCAAAAGAATCAAGTAAAAGTGGTTAGTTTTGGTTCTTCTGTCAGAAAAAACAGGTAGAAATAAATAACAATGTAAAATATATTAATTTTCTTTATAAATATCTGGAAACACTTGCTACTATGGAAATTAAATACACCTCCTAACTGGAGCTACAAAAATTAGTCAATCAATTGATTAGTCAATAAAAAAAAAATTATCGACAACTATTTTAATAATCATTAATGGTTTCAGTCATTAAAAAAAAAAGTGGAACGTTGCTCGTTTAATCTTTTTAAATGTAAAGATTTGCTGTTATTCTTTGTCCTTTATGATAGTAAATGAAGAGTATTTGGGTTGTGGACTCTTAGTTAGAGATGTCACTCTGGGCAATTATGATGAGCATTTTTCACAATTTCTTGACATTTTACAGACTAAACAATTAGATGATTAGTCGTGAAAAAAATCGTCTGCAGATTAGTCAATAATGAAAATAATCGTTAGTTGCAGCCCTCCGCCTAACCATATTAATTTGTGCTTTTTTTTTTTTAATTTAAGCATTATGGGCTCAATCAGACATGAATACCAATAAAATTTAAATTTCTAGTGGAAAATTGGGCATTAATCTGTTGTAAAGTGGTGGCTTTAGCTCCTGTAGAGTATATTTCAATCCGGAGGAAATGGGAATAGTTTTACAGGCAGAAGAATAAAAATAATTTATGTTTCCACCGCCCACCTCCAGGGGGCAGCAAAGTCTAATGTGGACAGGCCTCCGCACCCGGAAAGGCTGCTGAACATGTGTTTACACTGAGGTTAGCTAGCTTCATCTAACTTTTATATAAACTCCGAACTGTCTGCGTGTCCTATGAACAAAATGTCTTCGAAAATCCGGGACAACGACGACAATTGTGAAGGACGGTGTGCACTGAAGGAGGAGCTGAACAAAAAGGTAGCGTTAGGCACAACATGTTGCCGGAAGCCAATGCAAAAGCCACAAATATTAGCTGGTAAATCTGAATGTTAGAGTGAAAGTAATTCGTGTTGCTCATTTACAGATCAAGGAACAAAGGGTTGTAGTGGACGAGCTCTCCAATCTGAAGAAAAACAGGGTGAGTACAGCTGTGTTATAGGAAACACAACTAAAGTCTATCTGGAAATGACATATTTATTAATCTGTTTAAATGTGGTTATGCCCTGGCCACTATGAATAGTAACGTGAGTATTTTTCTATGTTTGAATGTACATTTTGTGTGTGTTATCTCCCAGAAGGTCTACATCCAGCAGAGGAACAGTAACATTTTCTTCCTAGCAGACAGAAGTCAGACACTTGCTTCATGTAAAAGTAGGTTGAGAGCTGGAAACTTGAATAAAGCTCATTTTAATAAACTAGCTCATATCACTCTTATCTCGTTAATTAATAACAGACACAGACCAATAAATAAATAAAATTTGATATTGCATTACTTAGTAGATAAACCTAATGGATGCTATTTTTCTTCTCCAGGGGAAATGGATAACATGAAAAAGGATCTGCAGGATATGTAAGACTGACCTTCATCACAGCAATGTGTGGGATCTTTTGTTTGTTGAGTCTGTCTCCCACTCAGTTTGAGTGGGACAAAACAGTTTGTGAACATTTGAAGAGAAGGGGGCCCAACTGGAGCCAGGATGTTACCGTTAGAGGCACAAGTCCCTTCTATCAATGTTTATTCTCTGCTCACGTTCTTCACATGAGAGGTCTTCTTACCCCTCAGCCAGTTCAAGACAACCCTGGAAATGTCCTGGTGTGGAACGGGGAGATTTTTGGAGGTATCCCGGTGAGGCCAGAGGAAAATGACACTGCTGTTGTCTCTGAGCGGCTATCATCCTGCAGTAGCCCTTCAGAGATTCTGTCCGTCCTGTCCGCTATTCGGGGACCGTGGGGGTTTGTTTACTACCAAAAGGCTGGAGACTACCTCTGGTTTGGCAGAGACTTCTTCGGTAGGCGGAGTTTGCTGTGGAAAGTTGACGCAGAGGTCAACGCATTGACCTTGACTTCTGTGGCAGCCCACAGTACTGGATCTGATCAGTCTGCTTGGCAAGAAGTCCCAGCAGTTGGTGTTTACAGGATTGACTTGAAGGCAGCGACAGAAGCTGGCTCTGTGACGTTTGAGCTTTATCCTTGGGCTTATGGAGGAAATAATCTTGTCTCGAGCTGCAGTGAAACTGTATTGGAGTCTGTCCCAAGCGGCTGCACTGCTGTGATGAACCAGTCGGGCCTCGTACTCGCCTCACCTGTGTGCCCTCTTAATACATCCATCCCGAAGTCATTAAATGAGAAAGAAATTCACCCAAACTCCCATTCACGTGTTAAGGACCTGGAGCAACTGCTTGCAAGCAAAGGGAAAAACGATGAGGTGAACAGTCTCATTGATGTTCTCAGTGAGGCAGTGAGGCGACGTGTTCAGTCTCTGCCTTTCAGGGATCAAGACAGTTCCCCTCCTACTGATGACCATGCTAGTGTTGCTATACTTTTTTCAGGAGGTATCGATTCAATGATCCTGGCTGCCCTAGCTGACCGTCACATACCTGCTCATCAGCCAATAGACCTTCTCAATGTAGCGTTTAAACTACAGGAGCCAAAGAAGCAGAAAGAGTCTGCAAAGAAACCCAAAAAGCCCAAAAGTAAGGCCACGGATTTTAAGACAGATGGCGCTGATTCCCAAACATCCAGCCCCTTTGATGTTCCAGACAGAATTACTGGAAATGCCGGCCTCAAGGAATTACAAGACTTGAATTCTCAAAGAAGATGGAATTTTGTTGAAATCAACGTAACGCAGGAGGAGCTGCAGAAAATGCGCCAGGAGCGCATTTCTCATCTGGTGCATCCACTGGATACGGTGCTCGATGACAGCATTGGATGTGCTGTGTGGTTCGCGGCAAGAGGGAGGGGCTTCATCACGGTGGACAATGACCAGAGGCCCTACACATCGACAGCAAAGGTGAAGTCAGACTTTGCTCTCTCCAGGATTCTGAATCTATTTAACTTTTTACCAATGAAGGGGATTTGTTGCAGCTGTTCCCTGGGCTGTTAAACTGGCATGAGTGCTGGTGGATAAACAGAGTAATTACATCATAAATGTATTTCTTTTCTTACTGATCCATTGCACTTACAACATGTTTCACAATCCTTAACAACCACATTGCCCTGCATTTCTGTGTTGCTACGTCACGACTGCAGGTCATTTTGACCGGAATCGGAGCAGATGAGCAGCTAGCAGGTTACTCCAGGCACAGAGTCCGATTCACTTTGTCGGGGCACGAGGGACTGATCCAGGAACTGGGCATGGAGCTGGGCAGGATCTCCTCCAGGAATTTGGGCAGAGATGACAGAGTGATAGGGGATCATGGGAAAGAGGCTAGGTAAGTGTGTCAGGTACCAACCATATGTTAATAGAGCCTAAATCCATGTCTTTAAATTTTGAAGGCAATTAATGTGCCCTGTGGAGCTTATTTTTAATTAAGCAAGTTATGTTGTGTGTATATATGTATTTCGTTTTAGTATTCACTGTGCATCCCTGAGGCTTATCAAAGGAGCAGAGTGCATTTTCCTCATCCTTAAACATTTGAAAAGCTGATAGAACATCGTGCATTTTTCATCAATGTGCTTGTCAAGATTTCATAGCTTGCAGTTTTCTTCTTCAGTGCCTTTGTTGGTGCATTGCTACATGTCTGTGTTACCGCCACCTACTGTCAATCAGCAGAATAACGTGAAAATAACCACCTGTGCCTTTTGTGCGCAATACAAACAAAAAGGGAACCCACTCATAAAACCATTGTTCCAAAAACTCCATGAGTACACTATTTTTTAATTTGCAAGAATCATTTTTTATTGACTTGATGAATCATTTCTTCATTAGTATTTGGTATGTACCTCGAAGCATAGAACATACAAGTTTGACAGCTTAAATGGTTTGTATTAATCAAAAACAGGGGGAAGCAGAATCCAAAAACTGGGCTTAAGGACATTTTAAAAGCACAGGTGTTATGAATCTGTTCAAGTGTCCCAGGAAGCCATGACAGTGAGCGAGTGCACACGATAGAACCAGGACCCTGAAACTGAAGGAGACATGTCTATGTAAAAGGCCTGTTATGTTGGACAGAGGAGGAAGCAGGATGATGCAGGGTGAACGGTAGAAACTGTAAGTTACTGTGATTGTGTCTGTACTTTGTTTCTGCTCATGGTTCAACCACAGGTGTTTGGACTTACTGTGCCTTAATCAGACCTTGTGTCAGGCATCTCTCGATAGCTTTGTTGCACCTGCCAGGGTGCAACAAATTCCACCTTTTGTTACCATTATTCAATAGTACGAAGTCCCGTGACCTAATTCTCAGCACAGCTCCACCCACCTTTGCCCTGAGCAGAGTCTAATCAGCCAGTGAAAACAGCTTCACGTCAGTAGCTTTCATTGGAACCCTTTTAAAAAAAACTAATCAAAATAAATTGTCAAATCATTGACAGTGTGTTCTGCGGAACCATCCAGAAAGATGGGGACATTGTTTCCGGAGAGATGATGTTGTTTTGCAATCACAAATATCAATGCTGTGAGCTCCACAGATCAAATTCCATTCACCTCTCATTGATCAGGGTTGAGTATTTACAAATAGTAGTGTCATCTGCAGATTTCCCTACTTGGATGAGGACGTGGTGAGCTACTTGAATTCTCTGCCTGTGTGGGAGAAAGCAGATCTGTCCCTTCCTCGAGGCGTCGGGGAGAAACTCCTCCTGAGACTGACAGCGAAGCAGCTGGGCCTCGGCCAATCAGCTGTCCTGCCCAAGAGAGCCATGCAGTTTGGCTCCCGCATCGCAAAGATGGAGGACAAACGTGAAAAGGCCTCTGACAAATGCACAAGACTCCTCACTGGGTAGACAAATCCAGATTGTAATGAAAAGAATATAAAAATCTTTTTAATAGCACATTATTATAAAATTACATTCAACTAATATTCAAAGGCATATTTACAATTTAAATCTTGATTTTAATGTTACATACAGATTCTTAGGGATTTAGATAGTTTTTGTACTCGTCTTTGATCATAATAATAAATATGGTGTTTCCTGTGTTCTCTACACCATGTAAGTCTCAAGATCTTGAAGCTTTTCTCTGAAGTAAAGGTCACATTCAATGTAGGAAGGCAAGTTTCCAACATCGAAACGGCCAGAAATCTGATGACTATATACTGGCTTCCTGAAAAGAAAAAAACTCATTTAGTGAGAAATACACTGCCATTGATTGATGATTATTTAAAAAAATCTATTAATTTTAGCTGAATATAAATTACGTATGTGAATATTATAAGACCCCAAAGGAACCCAAACAGAAAAGAAAGCTAACTGAGCTGAGTAAAAGCCAGACCTCACTCACTGGTCCAGCAGAAATTACCTTGGAATGAGCCAAGACACAAAGTTTCCTGGGGCGTCTTTCTCATCAATAGGAGCCTCCTATGGAAAGGTTGCGCATAATAGTGAAATTAAAAAACTTAATTTACTCTATTCCCATCAAATGTTGGTCTTTTGATTATTAAAGTTACCTTCTTTTCCTCCATGAAATATCCAACAGAGGAAGGCTTTTTTTTGAAAACACATAAAAACAGGGACACTGAAAAACAAATGGAAATGATTAGTGTACGTGTTGGGGCGTCAAAAATACCAGCAACTTTCACATAATGATATATATCAGATTGACTTTAAACATGGAAAATCTGTTAGATCTCACAATGGACAGCAGGATTGGTAGCCCGCCATCATTTCAGATTTAATTCAGAAAGAAAAATTTTTTTTGTAAAAATGTGTATTCATAATAATTTTTAAATGACAATGATACCTGATGAAAAGCGACGTACAGCCCATCATACTAAAACATTTGCCTTTATACAAAGTCCCTCCAGGTTTAGCATTGCATGATAGTTTAGTGGAGGATGTCCACTTGACTTTGATCTCAGGTTGAAGATGTGAAAGTAGTAGATATATACTGTAGCTTCCTTGAGGTGTGTTCACTTCCAAACAAACAAACAGCTATCGCATTATCGCATCTATCAGCTATTGCATTTTTACCTACAGTGCAGTCAGAGTTTAAGACACTGATCTAGCAGCATTTGAAACATTGACTGTAAGGATCATGTAGAGGTGGAAGCCGGGAATCGAACTGCTGATCTTATTAGTGGAAGACAAGGCTGGGTTGACTTATCGGCAGTATGAACGCCATCACTAGGGGTGAAAATCACAAATTATCACTTTAGTTTAGTTCAAACTGTCGTAGTCAGAGACTGTAGTTCATTGCCTTTTTTCCTAACCTGCAACTTGCCGATTACCATTCAAATGCATTTCATACCTCAGCAAGTGAACACATCACAATTCAAATGCACACCTTTTGGGAAGCCGTGGGATGGGCGTCAGGCGTTATCACGGGACAGAAATAAAAATGTCAACAGGAGTCAACAATCTTCTTCCTTTTACACTGTTATGGGATTGGGACAGAATGGGATGGGAGAGGAGTGAAAATCCACCCCCCATGTCAGTCTCTAATGGACAGCAGTAACTGAACACATCACTGTTCACAAAGCACTGAGTCTGACTGCAGCAGCACGTTCAGTCTGTCAGCTCAGTACAAAACCAGTCTATACAAGCACTGCACAAATGGTTAATATCTCACAGCGTTTTATTTATGACCGAGTTATCAGATTATGATTGTTTAAATAAGCTTTTAACAAGGATATAATGTACTATGAATCACAGCAGAGCTGGCAACGCTGCTCTCAGTCACCAGAGGAGCTCCGCCGCTACAAGCTGCTGACTGAGTCAGTGACAAAGGTTCAGTATTGTTGTTCACTTTGCAAATTCATTGATAATGATTTGTTTATACATGTACTTCACACCTGTAGTGCTCACTTTCAGCTTTAAGGATGATCCTAAGATCCTTGAGAGTTTTCATGTCCGATGTGCAGAATGTTAATAGGACAGGTAAACCACCAGACCTCAAACCAACTAAAACCCTAAAACCAGCAAGCCAAACCAAATGAAGACGACCAACCTGGCAAAGTATCATGAAAGATACAAAAGTGTCTGCTGAGTCTGAAACAATAGCAAATCACTGCAAAGGATCTGCAACCAATGATGAAATATATCAACTTGATTTATCTGTTCTTGTGTGGAAAGGGGTACGATTCCCACTTGTGATGTGGATACCCCCTCTAATTAAAGCCGAGTCAAGACTACAACCTTATTTCATTTGAAAAACAACACAGTGGAGCAATGAGACAACACAACAAAAATGTGTCACTGTCCCACTTTCTGACTGCACTTCAGGGGCAGAGGATGCCCTAAACTCATTCTTTTTAAAACTATCAGTAAAAGTTCAGGTGGCTCTCCACTTTTTCTGCTTTAAAGACTTTAAAGATCTTTTGTATCCACGTTGACAGACTTTTTTTTGGACATTATTGGCTTTGTTCAGTGTTTATGGTGAACTTACTGCTCTCCTCGACTTCGTCTCAGAAGGAAGAGGTTTCTCCTTCATGCAGAGGACACGAAGATCACTGTCTACCTCCAGTATCCCATATTTATGAGTTTCTGTGGAGATAGACAATACACAACTAATTGTGAGCAATGAGTGTGAGGACCAGCCATGTTCAACATTTCAGGATGAGATTCACTCCCTTCCCAGAAGGATTCCATAATGTTGCACAGAAAGCCTAATTTCATACTCACCCTCTTCTTTGCACTCGTACGAGAGCAGCAGACAGCAGTCCTCACACTTTGCCTGGAGGTCAACAAACCTCGCTTTTACTTTACTGAGGCTAAAATCTTCTTTGAAGAGGGTGTCACTGTTCACAACAGAAAGGGAGTTCTATCAACTTGTCAGAAACAGAACTTGACACACTTTCACACTTGCGTCAACAGTTCTGCTTGGTAGTATTGATAATGTTAACTCAGTAAACTTACCCCCCAATTACTAATACATGGTCGTCTATCTTGAAGTGCTTTACTGCAAGTTGCAGGCAGGCCACAGCACCAAGACGCCCCTGGTGGAATATCAAAGTTGGATTGATTTAGAGGTTTAGCCTAATCGCCGGAAAGAAAACGCTAACATATAATTTGGCCAATTCTGATCTAAATAAAGTACTTAACCTAAATCCTTTCATAAACTTTGGGGAAGAAAGACTGTAATGCACAACACTCCAATACTAGTAATAGACTAAATATTTAAAGTTATGAATTACTGTCTTAGAGTTGCTCAAAGCAAAGCACATGCTCACACTATGGGACTTTCAAAGGACCAACACATGTCACATACACAGTGATGACGGGGACAACAGGAACTGTAAAATTTGTGTTTACATCATTGCTTGTGGTCTGATCGCAGACAATCTTGACATTTGTGAAACGTGATGCCCACTCTTCAAATGCAGCATGGTAAACTGCGTTAGTCTGTGGAGAGGAGAACAGTGGGAAGAGAGAAGCAGAGGAACACAGGGGGTCAAACACTCATAAAACCATGTCCTTCGTGCCAACAGTTCTTAAAAACACATTGGTCCTGTCCTAGTTTGAAGAATTACATGCAGAATGGCTCATTTTAGAGTGTCGACGTATGTGCATAAGTGGATTATGATTATTGGTGCACTAACATGTAAATAATGATAATGGTATATATGTTACTGATTATTTCTTAAAATGTATTCATTTAGATGACGCTTTTATCCAAAGCGACTCACAATTGCTATAATATATATACACCTCTGGAGCAACTAGGGGTCTAGCGTCTTGCTCAGGGACACAAAGGTGGATGGGTCACAGTGGGGGATTGAACCCGTGTCTCTCACACCAAAGGAAGGTGTCTTATCCATCACCACCCCAATCAATTATTAATTAATTAACAATGCATCCTATTTCAAGGTATCACGGTAGTTTATCACTATACAACACAAGTCTGTATAACAAGTATTTCTAAATTAGTTCAAGTGTTTTGTATGTAACATCTAAATATGCAAAGCTACCACAAACTATTACTGCAAGATCAATGTAGTGGCGTCAAAAGTACATATAGTAAGATAAGTATAAAGTAGCAGAAAATGAAAATACTCAAAGAAAGTACAAGTACCTGAAAAATGTCCTTAAAAACAATACTTGAGTAGCTCCCGTTACTTACAACAACATAAATGCAGTCCACGCAGCAGGAGGCGGTCAGCGCGTGGACCCAGTGGGACATCAGAGCGCACCGTCCCACCGGCAGCAGCGGCTTCGCAGTGCCGGCCAGGTGAGCGAATCTCCCGCTGCAGTCGGCCACCACATCCCTCTGGAGCCTGGTTCCGTACCCGGCGGCGAGAATTACGGCTTTCATTTCACCTCTGAACCGGAATAAACGTCGCTCCGTTGTGAGCGGTGTTCCCTCGTTGGTTACGTACTATTTAACGGTTACAAGCGAGTAAAGCGCTAAAAAGTAAGGAAACATTCCATGGACTTGGTTCTTCCTCATATCGCGAGACTGGCAAGTCCTGTCGTCGACCAGAGCGTCAATAAGCTTCCGGTTGTACTTTTTCCCAAACTACCGGTAGAGCATTATATATATATATATTTTATTTTATTTATTTATTTTACACACACACACACACACACACACACACACACACCTCTCTCAAAGTTATCTTCCGGTGATTTCCCAGGTTAACATTATTGGAAACATTAATTAAAAAAGGACGTGGTGGTTAAACATAATGAAATCGAATAGTCTTTTAAACCCAAACAGTTATTCATGATATTTGTATAATTAACAGCATGCTGAATCATAGGGAAGTAGTGGAACAAACAGAACTGACCAGACAGTAAACCAGTGTTTTGTTGATTTATTTGCCAACTCATCATGACAAACGCATACTTTCATACACCGAGTAACCTGGACCCCCCCCCCCCCCCCTCAAAATCTGTTTTCTACAAATACAAAAAGGACAGAGATATTTCTTGGCGAGAAATCCTGAAAAATATGTGGGTTGTCTATTTTGAGTGCATTTGTTTTGAGCGGTCATTCTACATCATCGCTGCTGCTTCCGGCCTCGGGTCCTGTGACCTCAGCTTCAGCATCTTGTACTGGGTCCTGGGGGTCTGCAGGTTCAGGCTGAGATGCCTCCATCAGTTCCTCAGCTGGCTCTGGTTGAGGTGAGGGGGTCTCGTCTGCTCTTGCCAACTCCACCTGAAGAGAAACAAAATGTGTATAAAGGGCAAACTTTTTATTCAATTGTGGATTGCAAAAATTAAGAATACTCCATTCTTGATGTAAAAGGTGTGATTAAAAATAAATAGACTTTTAGTTTGTCACGGTGCAAAAACGTTATGCTAAGTTAATCATACCTGGGTAACAGTGTCAGTTTCCTCCTGTATCACTGGATGAGACTCTTCTTGCTCCATTGGTTCTTCCTCATCTTTCGCGACAGCTGGGTGCTGTTGGACTGGCGCCTCGGGCTCTTTCAGAGCCACAGTGGGAGCCTCTTCTTCAAGTGGGGCAGGAACTGGTTCTATCTGTGTGATAAAAAGAGAAAATGACAAAAACAAATAAATACATTAATTGTTTTATTGAGATCATATCAAAAAGTGGCGCCAAATAAATGCATATACAATACTTTAAGGAAGAACTGGCTGAACAGGAAATACTGAAAGCAGTGTTAAAAACACAAGATGTTCATTTATGTGATACTAATTAACACAGACAATTCAAGTTAATTATAATGCCCCAGTCACTGAAGGATGTTAGGGAAAAGTGTGCAACAGGTCTTTCTGAATCATGTTTATATCTTCATCAGTTACCTCTTTCTCCACGACAGGCTCCACAGGTTTTGGCTCTGGTTTTTTATTTGCTTCCAGGACCGACATGATGGAGGCAGATATGTGAGCTTGCTGTTACAGAGAAAAACAGAGGCTTTTGGTACATAAAGGAAATCCCCAAAGTAGTACCATTTTTGGACTGTAAATGAATCCAGTAAGCTTGGATAAAAGCTCTTACCTGATGAGTTGTGAAGGAGTGGACATGCTGTAGAAGAGGCTCTCTCATCTCCGGACAGCGTTCAAACACGCTCGTCAGTTGTGCGGGCGGCAGCTGGAGGAGCACGCTGTACGACTGCGGCTTCGTCCTCTGGCAGCACTTCACAAATCCTTCCCACACCTTGGGATACTTCCACACCTACAGCAACCAATGTTAGAGAAAATGGTGATAACGGTGAAATATGGTGATCGATATTAATTAGCGCACAAGTACAACTTAATTGCTGAGTTTCTCGGTTTCTCCCCTCTGGTATTGGTTGTAATAAGATCTTGTCTATTGCATCAGGTAGTAGACAGAAATGTCAGTTATTTTAGGAGAGATGATGACAAAAATAAATTCCGAGACATCAATAACTAGAAAAACCATGAATAATTGGCTGTAGTTTGGTGCTGACCTGCTTAACAATGAGGCGGGACAGGATGTTCATAACAAAGCCTCCCAGTCTGGGATTCATGGTGAGAGACTGGATGACGGTACGCATGAGCAGCATGGGGAGGGGATTCTGCTCCATTAGCTGCTGCATCACCACCGCCAGAACCTCCGACGTGTACACATTCCTCTCCGCAAAGCACAGGTTGGTAGCTGTAGTGCGCACAAAGAACATTTTCAGTTCCAGCTGTCGAACATATGCAACTGAAGATCATATCTAAAAAAATAAAAATGTGTGCCTGGCCCTGCATAATTTCATTTATTTTACAGATCCAAGCCCATTATACAGTTGATAATGAACCATTTAAGAAGAACAGAGAACAGAACCTACACTGAATAGCTGATGTGTTCACTGACCTCTGTCTATCTATGACTGACATATTTCAACATCTAGGAACTGCGTTGCCATGACAGTGTTTCCCCACAGGAAGAAAATTTTGTACATTTTAAAGTTAAATGCATTAATTTGGTGCAAAATTAAGAGGCTATCTATGAAGAACTTTGCACGATTGTAAACAATGTGTGCTCTAATAAACTAATCATAAACCCATTGTAGAGCTATAAATGGTGATGAAACAGTGACAAAAGTCAACAAATTTATTTAATGTTTTTCCAGAAACCCTAAATCAAAGAACAGAAGATAGAATAAGTAATTTCCCAAACATTTTATTGTTTTTTTTTTTTTACTTTTATTGGACACATGTAATGTGTTTTATATTTTCTGGGAATATAATCCAATTAATCTATTTCCATCCTGTATAGACACCTTATTTTGAAAACCGGGCGTTGTGCGTGTCCCACGCTAAGTCCGACCCAACTTGCAAAGAGAGAAACTGACAGGATAAAGTCACTAACCTGCCTGTCAGCTGGCTCTGGGCCGTTTCAGTGGATTTACCATGAAGGCTCGAATATGTGTGCACTCCAAATTTAGGCGCGGCTAGCTTAATCGCTTTCTCACAAACGAGTGACAGAAACAGACCGTTAACCATTGCCGTTAACGTTATCGTAGTTACCTCAAAATAAAAGTGGTTGTCTCGAGTCGAATGCCAAAGTGTGTGAGCGTGCAAGCTTACAGCAGCGGCGCAAAACAACATTACAACATCTGATCTGGTTCATTTTGAAACTATGGCGGAGCAAACTACAGTAGACTATGGAGGGCCCGCCATGGTCTTGTTAATTAATGGGAAACACTGCATGAAATACACTATATTATTTATTTCCGCTTGTTTATGCCAGCAATGTCATGACTGCAGGATTTGGGTTCAAGTGATGAGTGCATCACTCACCCCAAAACATTGAAAAGCTAACTCAGAGGCTAACCTGCGTAAATATCACAAAACAATTTGGTAGTTGTTGTAGGAATCAAACTCTGAAGCCTGGAAAAATACCCCAAAAAGGGGCAACATTACAAAAAGATTAGAGCAACAACAGATTGAAAGCCAACTGCTGGTAAGCTGTTTAATTAACTTACTGTTAAACTTAGCGTAATCACTGAACACTGACCTTTGATGATAGACTTCATATCACATTTGGTCGAGTCAATGTTGTGTAAGGCAATCAGCAGGTCTCCTGGGGTGAGAGGCGACACCGTTGAACTTCCCTCACCTGAAAGACAACAGACGACAATGAGAATACAACGGAGTCCTTCACCTGTAAGAATCTTCCACAGAATCCTTTGAGAGAAGTTGGTATGCATCTTATTATTTATTTAAACTAAATGTTCTATTCAGTAGCTGGATTAAAACAATAATCAAGTATTAGCTTTTCACAGAATGTGTAAATGTGTGAGCATGGTTCTTCATGTAAAAAAAACGGCAGGATGACCTTCACCAGTGGAAGACATATATGACACTTACTGTGCTGAGTACCCAAGAGACGGTTGAACACCTCCTTCACTACAATCGGGTTGAGTTTGATCAGCTTGGGCAGAGCCTGGATGACTTCATTCTATGAGGAAAAACCAGCCAAACGGTGAGTAAAATCCAAGAAAGATGCCAGGATGCACTGATGCCACAATACTGGAACGTGTTCATACTGTATGCAGTGCGATAAACATATTACAAAAGCACAATTTGATCCAAATCAGTCTTCTATGTACTGTGTACACCTGACTTTGATTGTGATGAGTTTCCGAGGATTACCTTTTCTAGTCCATTAATGACTGGAATAAGGAAACGAACATCTGGCACTCGTTTGTGGTAAAGGTCTCGCACTCTCTCCACCAGCTCAGGGGATGGAGGCACTGAATGGAGGAAAGGAAGCCTTATTTTACATATCATCACTTTCCATTTTCTGGTGCTATTGTTCCATGTTTGGATACATTTTGTGCTGATTGACCTAGATCCTCCTGTAAAGATGAAAAGTGGCGTGTTTTACCTTTATCTGTCAAAATGTGCAGACAGCGAGTAACTAAAGTCTCCGCCCCTTTAGGACAGTTTTCAACCAAGAGCAGCAGCTCAGGAGAGTTCATCCCCATTCCACGGATCTACAAACAAAAACAGAACTTGTCAATACTATTCAAAAACAATACAACTCAAAAGGAGCTAGGCTTACTTTCCCACACAGACATAAATCACAAATCCTGAAACTGCAGTCTTTTGTTTACATGGCATTACAGGGTTGAGATTACAGATGTGAACTTTGTTTTGTTTTATTTGGTCTTAAACACAGTGAGAAAGTTGCACCATTTCCTCTTTGATCTAATTTACCATCTCTTGTGGTTAAACCACTTAAAAAACCCCAGGAAGAAATAGATAAACATCTAGTCCAGACTTTGCCCTCAGCAGATTTTGTCATGCTAGGCTTTCCAGGCCTGCATAACTGCTGGACGATACATGACAACATCCTTCCCCTCATACCCACAGAAACTCGTGTTTTGGAGTTATATCCACAGTGAGGGAAAAAACTATCCCCTGCTGATTTTGTCCATTTGCCCACTGATAAAGAAATGATCATTCTATAATTTTAATGGTAGGTTTATTTGAACAGTGAGAGATAGAATACCAAAAAAAAATAAAAAATCTGAAAAACGCATGTAAC